ATAAAATCAAAATTATAAAATAATAAAGTAACATAAAATAATAAAATAATATATATATATTTTTAATATATATAAAATAAAACAAAATTAATAAAATATAAATATATAATTAATTGATTTGATGTTTATGACAAAAAATGATTGACACAATTTTCAAAACAATCAACACCCCCTATTAAGGGGTGCCATTAGCACTCCCCTTTGAAAAACACATTCTATAAAATATAACAAAAATTGATTCCAATAAAACATATTTTGTTTACCTTCTAATAGTTTCATTAAATGGCAAATTCTAAATCTTTAAGAGATGAGTTTTGTTTAAAAAAAAAGTTTGTATCCTAATAGTTCTAAAACCCTCTGAATGAGATTGTATCATTAGTCTTCCTTAATCATTCAACGCCCAAATTTCATTGTAAATAATTACCAAACAATTATATTTTATTTTGCACTATATCATGAGTGCCTCTTAATCATTATGACTAGTTAATCATTCTACACTAAACTATTTAGCAACTGCCAGCCTTAAATCATGATTATAACTTATAGCAAAGTTTGATTCAATATAATACATTATTTTTCCTTAATTAATGTAATAAACTTCCAGTCTTTCATGATTTTAAAAATCAATTTTCAAACTGAGTGAAAGTAAAAACTGAATTAAGATTTTAAGATTTTAATCCAAAAATAATACAATTTCAATTGATGATAAAAAGTGAAGTCGTTATGAATCGGTTACTTGTATTACTTGTATATTACAAGTTCATGCATTGACGGTATGTACTATACAATTAGTCCACTATCGTTGCCTCGCCAACCATCCTTCTCTGGTCCTCTCCTGCCTATGCATCATCGAACCCACACCTTCATGTGTTTTTTAAAGTATATAATATTTATATACGACAAATGCAACAAATAAACTTATATACACAGCCTCTTCATCTTTGGAGAGATTTAAACCCCTACTTCATGTTAATGTTCACTTTGATGTCATTATCATTCTAAATGTTCTTTTTACTCGGTTTTTGTTTATATACTTTGACCATCGAATTTAACGTTAAATATTTCAAGTCTTAAGATTTTTTTTTTATTTTGACTATTTGACGAATATAAATCAAGAATAATTGTCAATTTTTGTTATGATGAAAGAATTTTATGCAAATAAAGCCAATTGTATATTTGAGTGGCTCATTTTAAACTATTTATAATTGAATGGCCAAAATAAGATTTTTATATTTTGACTAAACTAGTATGTTGTTTTTGAAATATGAAATATGAAATTATTTTAAGCCATTTCCTATATTTATCATTTTTAATGGCTCCAGATTATTTGTGGTTGTTCGAGAATTAACCGATGCATACAAACTGGTTCGGAAATCCACTCTTAACAAAAAGAAAACTATATACATAACTACATAAGATTAATTATATAATTTTGTTTTTAATGTTTTTACTAATAATAAATGATTAACGTGGAATGACATAATTTATTTATCATTCTAATGGCATTACAAAACACAAACACAAACTTTCACGATAATGACTCTCTAGCCAAACCACCCTGGTTTATGAAAGACAATTTCAGTCTCTGGAAGAATCGGATGTCTCTTTTCTTAGAAGGTGTGGATCCTGAGATTTCATACTATATTGAAAATGGATCATATGTTCCATTTGCAATTTCTCCAGCAGTTCCTGCTACTGCTACGACTGCAGCCATTCCTGAAAGACAGATTCTGAAACTACCTATCAATGGAGTGACGAAGACAACAAGAAAATGACTTTAGATACTAGATCTAGATCTATAATAGTCATGTCTCTTCCTGACGAGGTTTATCACTTTGTTATGAAGTTAAAAACCTTGAAAACCATGTGGAACACTCTTTGTGTTCAATATGAAGGTACTTCTGAAGTGCAATAATCGAGGAAGATAAATTTAATAAGACAATATGAAAGTTTTCTCTGTGAAAAATATGAATCGTTATCTGAAGTACATCAATGTTTTAATTGTCTTCTTATTGATTTAAGGACAGTTGAAAAAGAATATTCCAACTCTAAGACCCTGGCAAAGTTCTTAGAATGTTTGCCAGAATCATGGGATAATTATACCATGTATCTCAAGATGTCTAAGGATATGCCCTCCCTTTCTCTTAGCTCTCTTTATGAGATATTGCGTAATTATGAGCAATCCCGTCAGCTGAAGAAGAATCTTCTTAAAGATTCCAGAGAAATAAAAAGCTTTCATTTAGCTTTGATCTCTGAAAACCCTTTAGTTGATCCTTCTATTTCTTCTGCTCCTTCTTCTTCTCTTGTTATCACTGAGTTAGATCATTCTAGCTTTGAAGACTTAACAAATGCTGATTTATCAGAGTTTGATGAGTCACTGGACCTCCTTATAAACTCTTTTAGAAGGTTTGCCAGAAAAAGTAATTTTCGTAGATTTTCTTCTTTGACTACCACTGACAAGCCAAAGTCAAATCCTATTGACAAGGCCTCAGCTAACTGCTTTAACTGTCAACGCAAAGAACACTTTGCAAGTGAGTGCAGGTCAAAGAAAGCTGTGAAGCCATCTTCAAACATCTCATCCCCCTTCAGACCTAAAAATGACAAATACTATAAATTGAAAGAGAAGTAC